CTTCCCCATGGACAATAGAAGAAATAAAAAAGAACAAGAGCTATTTAGAAAAAGGAGAAAAACCTAGATGTATGTATATATATATATGCATGTGCGTGTCTGTGAAGTGTGACCAAAGTGTAAGTAGGAGTAGCAAGATATCCCTGTTATCTTAGCGTGTTTATGAGACAGAAAAAGAAACTAATAATATAAAAATACAAATTAAAAATAGCACAAGACTCTCACTTGTAATTGCACTAAAGTCTAATGTAGTGACTTTGGTATAGTCTATATATTGACCTAGAGTGAGCAATAGTACAACTAGGTTTAATCTAATAATGTAGAAATACAAATTAAAAATAGCACCAGGCTCTCACTAGTAATTACACTATGATCTAATATAATGACTTTTGTACTGACTATGTATTGAGCTAGAATGAGCTATAGTACAACTGAGTTTAATCTAATGATATAAAAAAGGCACAAGACTCTCAGTTGTAATTGCACTAAGGTGTTATAGAAGTTGTTTACAAGAATTAGAGTGTAACTAGATTTAAATTGACAAGATAAAATATACAAGTTAAGGTAGCAAAAGAATAAAAAAAAAAAAGTAGAAAAAAAAGTAGAAAAAAAAAATATATGAGGTAGTTGGTACTAGTTAGCAAAAGATAGTTAAGGGCCTTGAACAATAATATAATTGAAATATACACTAATTGCACACACAATATAGTCACTAAGATATGAAAACAATCTTAGAATAGGACTTACAGTATAAACTTATAATACAAAAATACAAATTGAAATGGTACTTGCAATTGCACTAGAGTCTGGTATATGTTGTTGACAAGATCAAGAGTATAACTAGATTTAAATTGACAAAATAAAATTCACAATTAAAGTACCAAAAGAATAATAGTAAAAAATAACAATGGCAATGTCTTGGTTATAATATGATAGTAAGATGGTAGACAGGTACACAGGTACACAGGTACAAAGGATAATATAAAGGTTGGAGTTGAATATACAAACTTGAAAATTTGGCAACAAAATGTTATGGGAAGTATAAAATAATGTTTAATGTACAAAAGTAAAATTGACTGGTAGTAAATATGGTGTTTAATAAAATTTTAGTAATAATGATTACAAAAAAAGTGAAAAAGTAATGTTTATTTCATTCAATATTGCACTGGTAGTTATACTTGAGGTTATTTGGCAGTACAAGGTAATTAAGAGTACTCTAAGATAGTAAATGTGGTATTAAAACAGATAAAGGTAATTAGACAAGTAATGGTTATTAAATGTCAAAAATGTTGAGAGTAAATTGAAATTATAGTAAAAATGATGTTACATGAGAATGGGAGTGTTCTTCTTTATTTATTCTACCGTATCAATGTAGAGACAACCTGTACACAATGTAACTTGTACACAAACCAGACATGTACACTTCGTTTACAAAACTTACCTTCGCCTGGTTTGTTTACATAACTCTGCGCCTGTACTCTCTCATGCACTCATTCTTTCTCTCTCTCATTTATTCGTTTTATCTCATTTACTTACTCCTGACTCTACATTAAGACTACAAATATTTTAAGGTAAGTAATGAGTGAACTGTATATACATTTTATCGCTCTGGGATGCTTAAATGTAATAGAATATTATGTGTAGGTGGGTTGGCCTGGTATGGTAGCCCGGCTGACTATCATACATACCACACTTGATTTTTTACAATAAATACTACTCATCTCACCCTATATTTTAAGGTAAGTAATGAGTGAACTGTATATACATTTTATCGCTCTGGGATGCTTAACTATCATAGAATTGTATGTGTGGGTGGGGTGGCCTGGTATGGTAGCCTGGCTGACTACCATACATACCACACTTGATTTCTTACAATAAATACTACTTGTCTCACCCTAGATTAAGACTATAAATATTTTAAGGTAAGTAATGAGTGCACTATGTGTGTATTGTACTTTTTTATTGTTTTTGATGCCTGGTTCTATTGCTAACTTAATATATGTTAGTGTAAACTTGTTATCTAGTGTTTGTATGCATTTGTAAGTGGAAAAAAAGGGTGTTCCACTTTACGGCAGTTTCCGCTTTACGGCGGTAGCCTGGAACCTAACCAGCCGTATAAGTGGGGCCCTACTGTATATACATATGAACATGTACTTATACATACTTATGCATAAGCATACCTCTGCACATGTATACATACAAAAAGTAACACATGTAAATACATGCACAAATGCACTGCATACATATGAAAGTGCATATATGTACAGAAATTCATACACACAAACATACACAGACATATACATTCAGTGGCCACTACATTAGAACACCGTACTAGTACCGGGTAGGACCCCCCTTTGTCTCCCAAACAGCCTGAATTCTTGGTGGCATGGATTTAATAAGGTGCTGGACAGGTTAGTATCACACAGTTGCTGCAGAATTGCTGGCTACACATTTATGCTGTCAATCTCTGTTCCACCACATCCACTACAACCCAGTGTGGTCTTCTGCTGATGTATTCCATCCACTCCAAGGTTTGACATGTTGTGTGTTCAAAGATGCTTTTCTGCATACCACTATTGGAATGACTGGTTATTTGAGTTGCTATCACCTTAATGTCAGCTTGAACCAGTCTGGTCCTTCTCTGACTTCTCATTAAGGAGTTCTCACTCACAGAATTGCTGCTCACTGGATGTGTTTTGCACACCATTCTCTGTAAACTTTAAAGACTGTTGTGAATGAAAATCCCAGATCAGTGGTTTCTGAGACAGTCAAGCCACCCCATCTGTGACCAACAATCATTCCACGGTCAAAGTCACTTGGATTGCATTTCTTCCCCATTCTAATGTTTAATCTGAACAAGAACTGAACCTCTTGACCATTTATTCATGCTGTTAAGCATTGAGGTGCTGCCACATAATTGGTTGACTAGATACTTGCATTACCGACCAGGTGTACCTAATAAAGTGGCCACTAAATGTATATAGTTATATTTTGCTGCACTGAAATTTTATGACCATCCTCCAAATATTTCTCTCATATGCACTGAGGCAGAAGAAGCTGTGCCTATGGAATATGTGGATACCATTCTCTAGAGCTAGAATTAACATTTTGTAGGCCTCTGGTCTACAGGTACTGTGAGAGGCCCCCAGTGATATTTTCAAAAGAAAAAAGTTAAAAAAGTATTAAATTTATTTTTACAAGGCTAACCACAATTAAAATTCAACCATTTGCTTTGCATAATTTCTTGGAAACAAATTTCTCCAAAACATCAGTAAATTGTAAATTGTTGAGAACATTTTTGGAGGCCCTCCAGCTAGCAGAGGCCCCTGGGCTGCAGCCCCTACAGCCCATGCCTTAATCCGACCCCTGCCTTTCTCACGGCAGGCAGAGATCTTGGTTGTGGCTGTGGTTTGAGGGGAGGGGATCGATATACTTTAATGATAGGCACTGTACTGTATAAACATGTTGGATCAAACACAGCATTCAAGCAATCTAAACATTACTGTTTATAACTTCAGGTTCTAGTGATTAGGTATAGTATAAGAATGACCAAAATGCTCTGCATAAACATTGGCTTTCTAATAATCTTGTAGTCCATACTACTTACTATTTGTAACCACTAAGCTTTTTTGGGAATTAAATTTCATTTTTAATTTTCACTGTCACATGGAAAGAAGATAAAAATGTAGGGAAGAAAAAATCACTGGTGGAATAAGAAGCTGATAGAAAAAGTCAGGAAAAAGATGGAGTGTGAAACTTTTTGTAGAGACAATATAAAGAAGGCAGAACACTATCCAAAGGTGCCAAAGGGATACTAGAAAGCATCTTCACAAATGGTGTGGAAGAGTGCTGAAATCACAGCTATTTTAAAATGTTCTGACACTGCAAACTTTAATATGATAACTAAACACTGAAGAGAGAAAACCACAGGTACAGATCTGCTTCTATAACTGTAACAGATAATTATAAACTGTAAATGATCACATATATATATATATATATACACCTACCATCCAACTTACGACTGAGTTCGGTTCCGAGAAACTGATCGTAAGTCGAAATGGTCGTAAGTCGAACTTTACTACTGAATATCAACAAAACATTTTTGTAATGACTTTATTTTATTGTTTTATTTTGGTAGTTCATGTTTTACTTTACTTTTTATGTTGTTAGTACTGTATTTTATACCATAAGGTTTAGGATAAACACTGTGTACAACACAAATAGTTGTTTATTTCCCAGAAATTTGGCATAAAAAACACGGTCGTAAGTCGAGTGGTCGTAAGTCGAGCAGGTCGTAAGTCAGATGGTAGGTGTATATGCTCCTATGAATCTATAAAAGTCTTCTTCCTCTTTCAACAAACCGGCCATATCCCACCGATGCAGGTGGCCCAAAAGAAAAAATGAAAGTTTCTCCTTTCAAATTTAGTAATATATACAGGAGAATGTTACCAGCCCCTTGCTCTTGGCATTTTAGTTGCCTCTTACAACACTCATGGCTTATGGAGGAAGAATTCTGTTCCACTTCTCCATGGAGATAAGAGGAAATAAACAAGAACTAGTAAGAAAATAGAAGAAAACCCAGCAAAAGTAGTAGAAATAGAGTGGTAGTCATAGTAGTAGTAATAGAAGTGGGGTCAGTCTAAGGACAATAAAAAGAAGCACTGCAAGAGAGCTACTACCATTATTAATGCCTCCCTTCACCCTTCACTCTCCTTTCTCTCTTATGCCATTTAACTATTCTCCCAATTTTCTACTACCACTATTACTTCTACTACTACATCCACTACCAGGCTTACCACTACCACTACTTCTTTTTCCAACTCTCTTGTTCCCATCCTTGTCCCTCCCCCTCGCTTATATATACTGACGTCCTTACTCTCTTATTAGAGTGACTTGTAAATGGTCCAAGTCAGACCAAAATATCATCATAAGTTTCTCTCCTATATGTGGGTTATTTGTGTATTATTATTTCAAAGTATGACAAGACACTAGCACACCTTATTCTCCTTGAAGCAAGACAGAGAGTACTGAAGCATGGGAAGGTCATCAAACAGTCTTAGGATGAGTCTAGCTGTACCTATTTGTGAACTGATTGTCTCCAGTGCCACCCTGAAAGGAAATGACAGCAGTCATCATTGATTCACTGATGAATTTCAGTGCAAGAAGAATGCAGATTCAAATATTTTATCTAGAAATTTTTATTTTTAACAATAAATTCACAATTATGGCAAAGATTAAGCAAGTACCTAGTTAAAAATATTTGATACTGGTGATATTTATTTCAATTTACAGACAAAATATAAAAAATTATCTTCATAGGAAAAAATATACAGTAGATCATCGATTAACATAGGTTCCTTTATCACATTTTCTCCATTACACTACCGTAAAATTGCAGCATATTTTTGACTGAAGCTTCATAAAATTCAAGTAACATGGTTTCACTTCTGGGCTGGTAAAAAATTTGAGCACTGCTACAGGCAACGAGGGATTTTTTCCCCCCCTCTGTATAGTTAGCTCTTGGGCAGTCAGTCTGTGGGTCAGTCCATTGTCTTTGTGGGGGAACCACCCCAGTCCCAGTGTTCAGTACATACATGTCCCGTACAATAACCAGATCTGTTGGTAAGTTAGACGCATGTACAGCACTTGGGTATCTTTATTGAGGAAACATTTCACCACACAGTGGCTTCATCAGTCCATACAAAGAAGAATGGTGAAGAACAGGAGTCTGAGGTAATCAATCCCTCAGCCTTGAATCAATGTAATCAGTCAATCAATTATGAAAAGGACACAGCATATGCACGAAGAAGTGACTTATATATTGTAGACAGGTGAGGTGAAGCAGTTGTAGGACTGATTACATCAACTCAAGGTTGAGGGACTGACTGCCTCAAACTCCTGTTCTTCACCATTCTCCTTTGTAGGGACTGATGAAGCCACTGTGTGGCAAAATGTTTCCTCAATAAAGTTACCCAAGTGCTGCACATGTGTAACTTATCAACTTGTCAGTTCTCTAAACCATTTATCTACAACCAGATCTGTGTTTGCAAATTGACTGACTTGACTGACCAACTTGACTACCATCCACCTCAGCCAACAATCCACCTCAGCACAGTAGGGCTACAGCATGCCTCTCCATTCCCTTCACAACCAGTGACAAACACCAACAATCACAATTTAAGGTAAGAAATATTATTTCTGTTGCATTTATAGCCTTAAGCAATAGAAAAACATAATACATAATGACAATGAACAATAATTATATTATCTTTTTATTTTTGTAAGATTTGTAGACCTAAAAAAAAGTGGTTTGGCTTTTTTGGGGGTACCAGGAACATACCCTATTTTTCTCATTAGTTCTTCAGTTCATTTAACACAGATTCATCTAACACTGCATTTTCAGGAATGTAACTACCATGGTAATCGATGATCTACTATAGATCAAACTTAGAATTAGGAAATCTACATTAATTAAATATGTATGATATGAAGCAATTTTTAAATAAAATGTTTTTGGTTAACCTTTGATATTAGTCTGCCCAAAATGCCCCGGCATGCTAGTGGCTTTCTTTGTACCCATCAACATGCTTCATATGCATTCACACATTGTAACCTATGCAGAGATATAAAATTGTTTGTTTTGGATTGTTTATTGGTAGGTTGTCATCCATGCAGAAAAAGTAAAGTGTCCGGTGTGTAAAAAAATGGTCAAAATGCTAGTAACAGCAGCAACATCAACAGTAGTAGTAGTAGGCAGAAATAGTCACTGAGGTAGTAACTCTGGAGATAATAATGGCAGAAGATGAAATGGAAATAGCATTAATTATAATGGTTGCAGCAGCAATGGCAGAAGAGGAGGAGGAGGAGGCAGCAAAGACTATAGTATCTGTATACCCAGTTGGGTTCATATTCTGTCCCATGCTGGTGCTGACATCATTATGCCTACCAAGCTCAGCTCACACCACACTTTACCCTGCCTCACTCTCCCACCAGGCAGCCTAGAGACAACAACCTTACTCTCTCTTCCCAGCTGGGGTTTGGGCCCCAGGGGCACTAAACACTGCCTGTGTACAAGATCCCAAATAAAGTAAGAAGCCTCCGAAGCCTTATCAAACACACAAAATACACGTTAATACAGCGGCAGCAATGGAAGAAGTAGTACTTAAGTGATAGCAGCACCTGATGAAGTGCTAGTAGCATTTATTAGGTATCTTCGAAGGGGGACCCTTAAAGTTACCTGAATTTTTTTTTCCCTCCAACTTTTTGTTTTTATTTTGCTCATAATTTAAGAAAGCATCATCCAACTGACTTCAAAATTTAAAGCTTTCCCAAGATTCTAGGAACAAATGGAAAGTGCCATATTCTAGGAACAAATGGCCTGTGCCAGATTCTAAAAACAAATGGAATTTGCCAGATTCTAGGAACAAATGGCATGTGCAGATTCAAGGAATAAATGGCATGTGCCAGAAATTCTAGGAAAAAAAATGGCATGTGTCAGATTCTAAGAATAAAGGGCATGTGCTAGATTCTGGGAATAATATGGCATGTGCCAGATTATAGGAACAAATGGTATGTGCCAGATTCTAGGAACAAAATGGCATGTGCCAGATTCTAGGAACAAATGGCATGTCCCAGATTCTAGGAACAAATGGCATGCACCAGAATCTAGGAACAAATGGCTTTGTGCCAGAATCTAGGAACAAATGGCATGTGCCAGATTCTAGGAACAAATGGCATGTGCCAGATTCTAGGAACAAATGGCATGTGCCAGATTTAGGAACAAATGGCATGTGTCAGATTATAAGAATAAATGGCATGTGCCAGAATCTGGGAACAAAGGGCATGTTCCCCAGATTCTAGGAACAAATGGCAAGTGCCAGATTCTAGGAACAAATGACATGTACCAAAATCTAGGTACAATTGGCATGTGCCAGATTCTAGGAACATTGGCATGTGCCAGTTTCTAGGAACAAATGGCATGTGCCAGATTCTAGGAACAAATGGCATGTCCCAGATTCTAGGAACAAATGGCATTATCAGATTCAAGGAACAAAATGGTATGTGCAATGTTTCCAATGACCATAGTAGTTGAACTCATCCTGGAATGGATCCAATAACTTCAAAAACCTTCAGTGGAATAGCTTCAAACATTCAACAACAAGATGCCTTCTAATTACAGGACAGTGGAGGAATGAAATTTAAATGTGTAGGTGAAGATGTGACCACTTCGTGTTTAAAAACTGAGTAAAAAATTTTCCTTTTTAAATTTTTCTAATTAATTGATGGTTTTAAAGAGGAACTGAAATGTCGTGGGGATCTCTAGGGATTGGTAACTTAGACCTGCAAAAGGCCTTGATTCTTCTACCAAATTATTATGTCAAGAATGGTTAAAAATACAACAAGATGAAATTTAAGCAATGTGCAACATCTGGTTATCTTTATTGTAGAGTTTCGCCTTCCACACTACGGTGTCTTTCGCACCTACTCTAGTTGAGGACTGATACTCATCTTCTGTTAATCCTAACGTTCCCGTATTTCCCAGAATTGTATAATAAAGCCAATGGAAAGCGAAACGCACAATAAAGGGAACCTAGAATGTTGCACATGTGCTAATTCACAATATATTATGTAAAAAAACTTCAATTATCGGTAACATTCTGTAGATGGTTTAAGTCCTACTTAGCAAAAAGGGGACAAATTGTCAAAACAACAAAATGGAATCAGAAACCCCTGCTAAAGCCATGTGGAGTTCCCAAGGTAATTTTGGGTCCTTATTATTCCTTGCTATGTTAATGACATGCCTTCAGTGTCAAGCCAAACTCCTACTGTATGCAGATGACAGTGCTCTGTTAGTGTCGGAAAGCCCCAAAAGATATAGAAATTTATTAACACGGGAAACTGGGTCCGAGCAAATGGTTAGTAGATAACCCCATTACCCCTGGGGAAAACTGAACCCATTTTTTGGCAGAAAAAATGAGAAGGAAAAAAAATTTAATGTCCAGGTAATGGGACCCCATCACTTCATTTCTCATAAGATATGGGGGAAACCCCCCTTTAAACCCTGCAGTCGGGAGAATTGATGGGAAAACAGTGTAGTAAAGAAAGCAAAGGGCCAACTGAATTTTCCTGTAAACAACACAGTGCTCCCTACTGAGGCTCGGGCCCCTATGTCTAGCCCTTAACAATGTCTAGGGGGTATGTTGCTCTTCAGGACTCCCTTGAAAAAAAAAACTGAATGATAGACTGAAAAATCCCCAGAAAAAAATGGTAAGATTATCCGGACTGGGTCCAAGGAGATGTGGGCCAGGATAAATTTTAAAGTTGGATAGCTAAAAGTTGAAGACAGAGTAAAAAAACTGAAGCTAAACAAGTTTTAAAATTGCTCACAGTGCCCCAAAAACTTTTCGCCCAAATTTTTTCAAGGCTTGGATCCAAAGAATCAAATACGGGGGGGGAGAGCACAAAAATTTTTTTCCCCAGTTAGTGGCCGGCTTCAAAACCTTTTTTGCACAACAAATAAAGGAATGTAACAGGGTGCCTGTACATTCCCAAAACCCCGTCATAGCATGAACCAGTTGAAGACGAGAGCCCCAAAAAGGTGCCTGAGAATGTAGCTACAGAAAGGGGGGAGAATTTTTTTTTTTTTTTTTAGCAAATGCATGGTAATTTTTTCCTTTTTCCTAACAATGACCCACTTATTGTAGATATTTTAATGAACCCCGTGAATAGTTTAATGTATGAAAAAAGATATTATCTCCTTTTTAAAATAGTCTTAAGTATGGTAAATTTCTCCTTTATAAAAAATAAAAGTAATCTCCTTTATAGAATAGTCTTAATTTGTATGGGGAATATTATCTCCTTTATAAAAGTCAAATATTTTGGAAAAATTATTCCTTTATAGAATGTCTTTTTTAGTATGGTACTATTATCTCCCTTTATAGAATAGTCTGAATAGTAGGTAATACAGTGGACCCCGGTTAACAACTTTTTTCATTCCATAGTATTTTCAGGTGCCAGTACTGACCGAATTTTTTCCCATAAGGAATTTTGGAAGTAGATTAGCCCATTTCAGACCCCCCAAACATACACGAAAAACGCACTTCTAAATA